ACAGTTTACAGTTTACAGATAGACGTTAATGGCTACAGGAACTAGTGCCAGGGCTAACTCGTAAAGTTGTAGCTGCGCACCGCTCGCCCGGGCGTCACCAGCTCCACTTTGATGTTCGCCGTGGCCGTCACCTTGGTGGTGTTGCTGTCCGAATGCGTCGTCTCGACGGTCACCTCCGGCTGCACCACAATGCTCTGCAGCTCCGGCGGCGCATAGCCGCCCAGCATGGGCTGCGATAGCTTGTGATACGTTGGCGGCGGCGGCGCTGGCCCAGCATTACAGCTATAATTGGAGCCGTTGCCGTTGCCTTGGCCAGAGTTGGAGCTGGAGCCATGCGGTGGTTCGCGTTGCTGATAGTTGTTCATGTTGTTCATATAATGATTGTTCAGATGATTGTGGTTGTGATTGTGGTTGTGATTGTGGTTGTGGTTGCGGTTGTGCGTGGGCGTGGGCGTGGACGGGGCACTCCAATCGTTGTGCATTTGTATGGATGAATTGCTGGACTTCCACGACTGCGGCTCCTCGGTAATGGTGGTCAGCGAGGGATCATTGATGTTGACATCCTTGTGATAGTGATGCGCCTTGTGGCAGTTGTTGGAGCGCGACGAGCCGCGTGAGCCATTCACAATGAACGATTTGTTGGATCGCTTGCTGCTGCGCATCGGCACCGGCGATGGCGTCGATATGCGATCCGGATGCTCCAGCGGCACCAGCTCCGCCTCCGGGCCCAGCATGCTCAGCAGTATGGGGAACACCACCAGGCTATTGCAAGCGCCCACACAGAGCACGACAAGCAGCAGCCAGCAAAAGTGCCGGATGACGAACTCGAACGGCGACGTGGAGAGCATAAAGACAGCCATGCCGGAGGTGAGAATGCCATGGACGAGCGGCCCCAGCGACAGCTGCATGGCCAGATGGACGCGACGCTGACGATTGCCCACCGAGGTCATGAAGCCCTGAGAGAGAGAGAGAGAGAGAGAGAGAATTGCAATCAATAAAGTTTCTCCAGATTTGTTGGTCACACTTACCAATGAGATGTGCACATTGAAGCAGAGGATCATGCCCACGCCCAGTATGACTATCACAGCGGGTATGGCCGACAGTTTGATGCCCAGCAGGGTCATGGCGCCAAAGATTTGGGCCAGCGAGGCCAGCACCGTGACAATGACCAGAATGGCGGCCGAAACGGAGAGCAGCAGGAGCGAGACCAGCACCAAGGCGGCCAGCAGGGCGCAGGCAAGAATCAGGGCCAGCGAGGAGCGCAACGTCATGTACTGTTCCCAGAAGATGAAGGGAATGCCTAAAAGGAAAATCGAGAAATATTACAAATTTTACAATCATTCACTCTACAAAATTTGCCATTCGTAATGCCTACCAGACGGATAGTTGGGTAATCCGTAGCCCTCAAACTTGACGCTCAGATCGCGTATGTGTCCAATCAGTGTCTTGATCTCCGAGGTATCGGTGAGGCCGTGCAAATAGAAGGGCATCTGGGCGTAGACCAGGGGCAGACTTTTGGGTATCTTAACATCGTATTCGTTGGGTGCATGATAATACTGGCGCGGTTCCGGATACAGTTTGGCCTGCAAGAGTTTCAAGGATTACAAACTGCTCTCCTCTCTTCTTCTTCTTCTTTTATATAGTGAACTCACCTGTGAGGCGCCGTAGCCAAAGACATCGTTGGTGGCCCACGCTGATAGATAGTTGTAGAAGGCCTTGGGATTGATGATGCCATCCCTGTCGACTAGACGATTCGTCTCCACCAGACTCTTGTCCACCGGATTGTCCACATAGCCCGTCTGCACCATCAGCTTGTAGGCGAGAATCGCATCGCTGCTGGCATTCGGATACCATTTCTCCTTGTTCAGTCGCCCGTCGCGCAGCTCCTCGTCGAAGATGCGCTGCAGATTCTTGAGCCAGTCGCGGAACAGCAACAGCCAAAAGTCCGGCAGTCCCCCATTGTCGTTCTTGATGACGTGCGGCACCCGGACGAACGCCTCGTGGTAGTCGCAGAGCAGCTTCTGCTGCGTCGGATACTCAAAGTTGCCCTGGGTAACGGCATACATGCTATAGAAGCCAAACAGACGCGTCTGGGCATCGAGAAACTTGTGCTCGTTGCTGTGCTTGGGCACCAGGTCGATGATGTCGAGGCCATCCTGCAGCGCGGTCGCCTCGTACAGGCTGAAGATCACCGCACAGAGGAAGCCCATCACGGCCAGAAACTTGACCCAGCTGCGCATGAGGAAGGGCGTATAATACTTGTAGGCAAAGCTGGCCAGCGAGAAGCTGGGCAGGGAGGTGGCTAGGCCGCCAGCCAATGGAGCTCGCGACTCTAGCAGCGGATTCTGAGCGAGCTGCTGTGGCTGCACCTGCACCTGCTGCTGCTGCTGTCCCGTTCGATTGTTGTTGCAGTTCTTGGGATGACGTCCGCCGCGCATGCTGTTGTTGTTGTTCATGGCCAGCGCTGGGGAGGCGGACTTGGGCGGCTCCTTCCAGATGGGAAAGCAGCAGCAAAAGATGTCCGCACGTCCGGCGGTGCGACGACGCAAATCCAGCGATATCATGGCCGGAAAGACGAGCAGCGCGGCGGCCAGATTGAAGCACATCACGATGGCCGACTGCAGGCAGAAGACCTTCAGGGCGGGCACCGGAATGAAGACGGCCGCAAAGAAGGAGCCCGCCGTGCTGCACGCACTGAACAGGATGCTCGGTCCGACCTTCTTCAGTATCAGTTTCGTTTGCTCCTTGCGATTGCTCTCCGCATAGGCCGCCGTCAGCATGAAGATGTGATCGACGCCCAGGCCCAAGGCGAGGAACGGCACCACCTGGGTGCTCGCCGCATTGAACACGATGCCGAGCAGGGCGCACAGGCCCAGGCCCGCGGCCGTGCTGAAGCACATCAACAGTACGCCGGCCACGCCCACACTGCTCTGGCCGCGCACCGGATCACGCCAGCGCAGCAGCGTACAGAACGCATAGAGCACAGTGGCCGCGACGCCAATGACAATGCTCACAGCACTGGGATGCGAGAACTTGGCCAGGATGTCGTCCAGGGTGGCCGAGCTGAAGACATAGATGTCATAGTTGGCCGCAATGCGGGATTGCTTGCGCAGCAGCTGCTCCACCTCGCGCGAGAAGTTCCGTTGCCAGGCGTTGAGCACCTCGGCGGCCTTCTGCTGCGTCCAGCCGAGGGTGTGCACCTTGTAGTGTCCCTGCCACTGGTCGTACATCTCCTTCTCTGTCATCAGCTGCACCACCGTCTGCAGCGCCTTGGCCGTCTTCAGGTGCCCGCTGCGATTGCGCTGCGCCCCGCCCACAATCAGCTGCTCCGGCCAGTGCATGTGCTTGGGCGCAAACCCGTAACAGCCGCCGGAGAGTATAGCGCCCACGTCCGGTGGCTGCTGGCTGTTCTTGTTGGGCGCCGTGTCCGGGCACTGCGGATGCAAGGGATTCAGGCAGGGCTTCTCCATGTACCCAGTGCCAATCGCCGCTCGCTTCATGTACTGCTCGACGGTGTCAAAGTCAAAGCTGACCTTCTGATCGGAAATCTCCTGCTTTATGAACTGCATCAGAGCCGACGGATTCAGTGTGCTCCACATCAGTCGCTGATTGAGGACACTGCAAGGGAGAGAGACAGAGAGAGAGAGAGAGAGAGAGAGATGATTAGTTTAAGATGGCAAAAGGAAGAGAAATGAATTTTTAATGGGGTTCCACCTTAAATCCCCAAGGAGCCATTAGGCTAAGGCAATTGAGTAGAGATCAGCGATCAATTGGGGTTAACTGAAGGAGCAAATTGGATTGAATAAAGCAAAATAAGACAGAGTTCAATTAGGGTGAAGAAATACGAGCATAAATGGAAAACGATTGGAGGGGTTAAGGGAAGGAAAGAGATTCGCTTAAGGGAAATTGATCTGCTCTGAAGAATCAATAGGGTTAAAGGAATTGAAGCAAAGGAATACAAACCCAAGTATGGTACAAGAATACACCTTAAAGGAAATACCTATTGGAGTTAAGCTCGAGTAAGGTTCTGGAATTTATGTTAAAGGAAAGACCTCTTGGGGTTAAGCTCAATTAGGGTTAAGGAAGTCATGTTAAGGAAGAGACCTATTGGAGTTAAGCTCAAATAGAGTTTAAGAATTCACCTTAAAGGAAAGACCTATTGGGATTAAGCTCAATTGGAGTTCAAGAATTCACCTTAAAGGAAAGTCCTATTGGGATTAAGCTCAAGTAGGGCTCAAGAATTCACGTTAAGGGAAATACCTATTGGGGTTAAGCTCAAGTAGGGCTCAGTAGTTCACGTTAAGGGAAATACTTATTGGGATTAGAGTTTAGAATTCATGTTAAAGACCTATTAG